TGAGGATTAAAACATTTCACGCACACACACGAAAACAGTTAAGCTGAAATGTCTGAAGACACATTTGACCCAAGGTGATCAACACAGACACAAGACACAACGGCTTCCCATCAGGAACCAGAAAGTGTGGAGAGAATTCGGGGCCCAGTGGGGGTGGGGGTGGCACCATTACAACCGCCACACAGTCACCTGGAACCCGAGGGTTCCTACCACACTGCGTGGTGAAAACAGTCCCATCCAAAACACCACATGACAGTAGCCAGGCCTCTCACGGGGCTGACAGGGAAGCAAGCCTAGAGAAACAAGGCCGTGACCTGCTGAACCAGGGGAGAGAAAAGGACTGCCCTGCCCAGGGCTCCCAAGGGCCTCCTTCCTGTGGATTACAGAGAGGGTGGCAGCAGCCAGTGGCCTGGCTAGGTTCATGGGCAGGAGCTGTCTCCCAATTACAGGATGGTTTGCCCTCCTGGGGGTGTCCTGGGAGCAACAGTACCAGGCAGGGAGGTGACAAGATGCTAACGTGACCCATCACAGGCACACTGAGTCGCTCCTCTGGGCCTCAATCTGCTAATGACGCCTTTGTTATGCAGCCATGAAACCGGAAGGCCTACTCTACTGTGACCAGTCTTCTGCTTTACTTTCTGTAGGTTTGAGGGCAACTACATGTGACCCCTTAACGAAGCCTGTTTGGTCACAGGCTCCCCATTATCTTCAGCTCCTTACCGTTGCCTTCTCTCCTCTCTCCTCCCTACATCACCCCATCCTTAACTGCAAACATAGTCTCCTTGTTTCCTGCTCTGAGCCCTCATGGTTCCCACAGGCTGAGATTGCTTGTTTCTCTGTCCAAATCCTCTTTCCACCCACCATACTAACACTGAATGGAAGGAGGACTTCCTCAGTGCTCCCCTTCCCCTCCCCCATGCCAGAGACTAGCTGGAAGCTGAGCCAATCAAAGCTCTTCGCTGGCATCACTGACACTGCGACCTCCAATGGTGTCTGGTGGGAAATGTGGAACTGGATCTCATCAGAATCTTCCAAGGTTGGGGTTCCCTGGAAAGGCAGAATTCAGGGAGGCCTGCGGCTCTAACCAACCACATACTCCTAGCTGCCTCTTTCCCCCAATTTGTTCCTAACAGACAAGCATTGGCTGTCTGACTTCAACATGGGAGATGGGCATATTTACCACATGCCCCTAAAGATTTACAAGGGGGAGTGGCTTGCACGTTAGCTCTGCAACCAGACGCTCTGATTAGCACCCTAGCCGTCCCTCTTGCTAGCTGTGTGTCACTGAGTAAGAGAGAATTAACCTCTCTAGGTTACAAAGTCCCCCTCTGTAAAATGCAGGAGGTGGCCTTTGAGGATGAAATGAGCTACCAGGTCTTCAACCCTGGCCCACAGTGCAGCAGCTACTGTATCCCTTATCTGCAATTCAGATTTCTATAGTCTCAGTTTGTTACTTATGGTCAGCCTGAAACATTATCAACCTTGGAGAGAAGGGGGGGGGCGGAGAATGATTATGTGCTGACTAGTTTTATGTCAACTTGGCACAAACTAGAGTTATCTGAAAGGAGAGACTCTCAATTGAGAAAATGCCTTCATAAAACCCGGCTGTAGGACTGGGCAGGGCGCACACCTTTAATCTCAGCACTGGGGAGGCAGAGGCAGGTGGATCTCTTGAGTTCAAGGCCAGCCTGGTCATATTTCCTGAATTATTGATGGATGGGGAACAGCCCAGCCCATTGTGAACGATGCCATCCCTGGATTGTTGGTCCTGGGTGCTCTAAGAAAGCGGGCTGAATGCCGGGCGGTGGTGGCACACGCCTTTAATCCCAGTACTCGGGAGGCAGAGGCAGGTGGATCTCTGTGAGGATCTCTGTGAGTTCGAGACCAGCCTGGTCTACAGAGCTAGTGCCAGGACAGGCTCCAAAGCCACAGAGAAACCCTGTCTCGAAAAAACAAAACAAAACAAAAAAAAAAAAAGAAAGCGGGCTGAACAAGACATGAGGAACAAGCCAGTAAGCAGCCCCCGTCTACCACCTCTGCATCAGCTCCTGCCTCCAGGATCCAACTCTGTCTGAGTTCCTTCCTGACTTCCTTCAGTGATAAACAGTGCTGTGTAAGTCAAATGAACCCTTTCCTCCCCAATATGCTTTGGTCATGTTTCGTCATAGCAATAGTAACCCTGACTAGGACAGACTACATTCATGTGACCGTTGTTACAACAGCCCTGAGGTAACCTGTTGTATCATTTCTTTTTGTTGAAATCCAGTCTAATACATGAATGAAACTTTGCTGTACGTGTGTGTGTGTGTGTGTGTGTGTGTGTGTGTGTGTGTAGGAGAAACCTAGCCTACAGAAGATTTGGGGCTATCTGGGGTTCTGGGCATCCCCTCAGGAGCTTGGGTGTATTCTTGTGGAAAAGTGGGGGAGAGGATATTGATGGTGAAGACCCAGGACCCCAATCTCCCGGAGCAGGAGTCGGGGTGCTGGGTTGAGGTAAAGAAGGGCATGAGAGGCAGGTGACTGGCTCCCAGCAAGGCTCCTAGGCAGGCCTCTGGCATAGCAGGGAGCCTCTCCGAGTCAGGACCCTTACGTAACCATATTGAAGGAGAGATGGCAATGGTGGGCAGGACTGTTATCAACTTCCAACTGCTCTAGGCTCGGGCCGAGCATCTAGATTGTTGGACAGTTAACACTTTTGCCCGGCACTTGAAAGACCTTGGAAGCTGTAGGATTCACCTCGACTTCCCGAAGGAGCACCGGGGGAAGGCATGCAGGGGCTTGGAGAGTGGAGACCCTCATCTCACAGCTGTCACCAGCACAGAGGCCACGTTTGCTGGTGCTCTCAGCCGTGCAGGGCCGACAGGGTGGAATGCGGCATTGTCCCCCCCCCCCCCCCCCCCCCCGCCCCCAGGTAGCATGACTGTAGGAAACCAGGCTCAAAAGGTGACCTGCCTCTTTGGGGACAATGCAGATCCTTTAGTTCCAGAGGCCACACCCTGCCAATATCCCAACACCCTGCGCCTGCAGATTTTCTCTCTGCATAGTCGAGAATGGGGCAGCTGGAGCCATGCCGGACTTGACAACAGAGAGAAGCGCGGGGGAAGGAAACCCGAGACGCCCGCAAATACTCGACCCCAAGGTAGGAGCAGGTGCCGAGCATCTGCCCAATAGACAGTTCTGTCACTTAACCTTACAGTCGCCATAGCCCTTCAAGGAGGACCCACTGTTATACCCACACTGCTAACAAACGCTGGGTTCTTAATGGCTAATACTCGTCTTTGGACCACATGACAGAAGCGGCAGAGCCAGGATTTGAACCAGGTTCGTCTGAGTCTGGCTACCCCATTTTGTAACCCTATTCTTCTCGCGTATGGCACGTGGTACAGATGTCATTTCCTACACCCTACACCCTTCCCTGGGAGAAAGGAGAGCCAAGCAATTCTCCAGGACACTCTGAGCTATACAGAGATATGAGGGACTGAGAGGGGCCCCAAAGAATTCTAAGTCTGTGGACTTGGCTTTGTTCTTGTCAGCTGTGTGTTCCAGGACTGACCCTTGCCCTCTCTGAGCCCTCTACCAAACGCTTCAGAGCACACCTCTGACAGACTATGCCCATTCTGCTCCCACCCTCACATTACCACCGCAGTTCTTGTGGGGGCTCCATGGTGCTTCTTCTTCTTTTTTTTTTTTTAAAAGATTTATTTATTTGTTTGTTTGTTTGTTTGTTTATTATAGTGTTCTGCCTGCTGGTGTCCTGGCACGCCAGAAGATGGGACCAGATCTCATTACAAGTGGCTGTGAGTCACCATGTGGTTGCTGGGAACTGAACTCAGGACCTCTGGAAGAGCAGTCAGTGCTCGTAACCGCTGAGCCACCTCTCTAGCCCAGTACTGCTTCTTACATATCCCTAACACCCGAGGCACCCCCTAGAGGAAGGACGAAGGCTGACACTTCTATGCTGGAAGGACAAGATTGAGAGTGGGGAACGGAACAGTGGATAAGACATTACTGGGCAGTGGAGCTAGGATGCTGTCACTTGGCCCAGAACTGAGGTGCCACCCTCTACTCTCCACCTGCACCCCGAGTCCAGCAGCTACTAGGATGAATGCACAAGTTCCGATGGGCACCTTGGACCAATGTGGTGGACGTGACCAGATAAAGAGGTCAGAGGTGCTTCCAGGCTATCTCACCTGACCCGTGCTGTGCCTGTGGACTGTGTGATAAGCGTGTGCTGTCCATCAAATGGCAGAATTAGAGGCGCGTTACTTAATGGTGCTGCAGGAAAGATAAGCGCTCAGAGCCACACCTCTGGGGAATGACAATGGGAAGCAGTAGGAGCAGAGGGTGCACACGTGGTGCTTGGCTAAAAACTCAAGAAGCCGGGTGTGGTGGCACACACCTTTGGTCCCAGCACTCGCAGGTGGATCTCTGTGAGTTCGAGGTCAGCCTGGTCTACAGAGCGAGTTCCAGGACTGTGAGGGCTACACAGAGAAACACTGTCTCGGAAAACAAAGCAAACATCAATTTTGATACTCAGTTTACCTTCCATCACACTTGTGGGTGCATCCGTGGACTGAACCAATAATGTACTGAAAATATTCAGGGGAAACTGATGGCTCAGTGGGGTAAAATGTTTAGATGCAGATCTTCCCCATTTGAGCTTGTCAAACTGGAAGCTAGGGCCAAGTTCTGGCATCATGGGCTACTGCATATACCACACGGTGCTTGACAGCATCCCTGGCCTCGGCTCACAAGGTTCAAGCAACACCTTCACCCCATTTGTCTCTGTGATGCCAAATGGTCCCTGACCCCGGTTGAAAAGCCACTAGAATATCCTGTGGTCCAAGGATGCAGGGGAGAACCGTTGGGACCCTGTGGGAGTGAGGAGTCCATACAGGCCTAGGGCCCTTCCTGCTGCAAAGGCCAAGTGACCCCACTGGCCAGGACCTGCAGTTAGACATCTCTTGCCCCTCAGGGCATCATCCAGAAGCCCTTCTTACCCAGCCTGATGTCCCCCTCAAGGGTCATAAGCACATTTCCGGCTTTCAGGTCACGGTGGATGATCTTCTTGCCATGCAGGAAGTTGAGTGCCTCCAGCATCTGGCGGCAGACGACCTGAATCTGGGGCTCAGTGAGGCCTCGGTCTAGCTCTGGAAAAGAAAAGCACTCTTGTCACTGAGTGGCACTCGCCGGGCCAGCACCAGGCTCTTTCTCAAATGCCACCTAACCCTACGCCAGGCCGCTGTTCTCCCTAAGGCACAGAAGTGGCCACCAAGGATCAGAGGTCACTTGATGAAGGACACTTTGGAGACCCAAAGCTTCAGAATTCAGGGTCACGAAGAGCACGCAGAGATGCAGAGTCTATGCGGCAGGGCTCGGGTGCCTTGGTTCATCCTGCTATGGCAATTGATATAGAAGGGACTCATGGCTTTGCAGGCTGTAAGTCCCAACCGCATGACATCACTTATGAGGTCCTTGTGCTGTGCTGCAAGACAGCAAGTGTGCCACTCATGCCCCCGTGGGGGCTGCCTCCCAACCTCATCCAACCCTAACTCCCTCCCAGAGGCATGCCTCCAAACTCTATTTGTGGGTGAATCAAAGGGTTAAGTTTGCAGCACATGGGTTTGGGGGCACATGTTCAAGCCATAGAACAGAGTGGGTGCTTCTCAGGGGTCAGGGCTTGATGTGGATGCAGGGTGATGCTTAGGACAGGGTGGGGAAGAGCACAGACCAGCCAGGAAATACAGCAATCCCATTTGAGTGAATGGGAGCCCCAGAGGCAGGAGTGTGTGACTGTGGAACGCAGGCAGCCCAGGCCAAGGAGCCAGAAGAAGCAAAGGCTTGGAGGCTGTCATGGGGGCTGGGAGCATCAGGAGATGTAGTAGGGGCCAGAGTCACCAGGTCAGTCACCAGGAGCCTTCTGCATGTTAGCTGGGAACTCTTCCCACCATAGAGTGTCTGGAGACAGAGCTCACCTCTGAGGTTCAAGGATTAATAGACCTGAGGAGGTGGGGAACAGGAAGAACATTCTAGAAAAGGAAATAAATGGTTGTGCTGAAGGCACTGTATAGTGTGACTATCAAGTCAGGATATATGTCAGGGAAGGTGGCAGAGGCTGGAGACCAGCGGGGCCTGACAGAACAGGACTGTGTGTCCTTTCTGTTGGTGGCTGCATGTAACTGGGTATTCAATCTGAAATCTAAAGGTGGGTCTGGGTAGCCAGGCATGCCACTGGGTTTGCACTTAAGAGTGTCCCTCTAGGGGCTGGAGCGATGGCACACAGATGTAATTCCAGCTTTGGAGGTAGAAGCAGAAGCATCAGAATTAGTTAAGAAGTCGGCACACAGACCATACATATACACAGTCCACATACATGTACACACACACACACACAAATAAACAAGAGGTCTTATTTTCAGATTTATAACCAAAGATTAATGAGACGCATCTTGGGCATGCAGACACTGATCACAAAGCACTCCCGATTAGGGTAAGGCTTGATATTGTCTCCCAAAGGCCCATGTGCTGGTCTCTGGTGTGGGAGTTAGAAGCAGAAGCATCAGAATTAGTTAAGAAGTCAGCACACAGACCATACATATACACAGTCCACATACATGTACACACACGCACACAAATAAACAAGAGGTCTTATTTTCAGATTTATAACCAAAGATTAATGAGACGCAACTTGGGCATGCAGACACTGATCACAAAGCACTCCCGTTTAGGGTAAGGCTTGATATTGTCTCCCAAAGGCCCATGTGCTGGTCTCTGGTGTGGGAGTGTGCAGGTGGTAGAGCCTTTATGAGGCAGGGCCCAAGTCAAGGTAATTAGGTAAAGGGAGCCCCACCACCAGAAGGAATAAGTCTGGCCTCAGATAGTACTTGCAGGACCCAGGCGTTACAAAAAGAGCAAGGGGCTGGCCATGGTGGCACATACTTTAATCCCAGCACCCCTGAGACAGAGGCAGGAGAATCTCTGTAAGTTCAAAGACAACTGGGTCTACATAGTGAGTTCCAGCTAGGACTACATAGTGAGACCCTGTCTCAAACAAACAAGTCAATAGACAGAAAGAGAGAGAGAGAGAGAGAGAGAGAGAGAGAGAGAGAGAGAGAGAGAGAGAGAGAGAGAGAAAACAAGCAAATCTTTCCCCATAAGCTGACTTTCTGTCTTACCATACTATCTTTTGCATGCTCTCTCTCCATTGTGGCCCAGTCATCATAGGTCCTTAGAAAGCCCCCCACCCCTAGTGAACTTTCAGCTTCCAAAACACTTCTTACCAGCCTCAGGTATTTTATTGGAGCAGTAGGAAAAAAAAAAACCTAAGATACAATACTTTATTAGCATTGATATTAACTAGCTTTTGCCAAGGACACTGAGACCTGATAACCCTCCTCCCGAGCCCTTACAAAATGCATGGGCACTTTAATAAATGTGTCCCGGAAAGCCCAAGCGCAGGGCTGCTGGGAGATCACTGTCTCCCCTCTAAAAAATGGGCTAGTCCTGTTGTGAGGGTCGGCTTGTTCTCTTGGAAGTGGATTCCCGACGATGCCCTTTTTTCTGTTTCTCTCACTTACACTCTTCCTTCTGCCTTCAATGTGGGATGTTTGCCAGGTACTGGTGCCTTGCTTTTGGACTTCCCAGCCTCAGAAGCATGAGCCAAATCAATATCTGTTCTTTTTTTGTTTGCTTGCTTGCTTTGTTTTTCAAGACAGGGTTTCTCTGTGTAGCCCTGGCTGTCCTAGAACTTACTCTGTAGACCAGGCTGGCCTTGAACTCACAGAGATCCACTTGCCTCTGCCTCCTGAGTGCTGTTATTAATGGTGTGTTTCACCACTGCCCAGCAATTTCTGTTCTTCATCCAGCTACATGTGTTCTGTGATAGCACCAGTAACAGATTAAGACACTTGGGTATCCCACTCAGTGCCATGTGGAAGGCATAATACATTCTTTTTGTTTTGTTTTGTTTTTATTTTTTGTTTTCTGAGACAGGGTTTCTCTATATAACAGCCTTGGCTGTCCTGAAACTCCCTCTGTAGACCAGGCTGGCCTTGAACTCACAGAGATCACTTGCCTCTGCCTACCAAGTACAGGGATTAAAGGCATGCACCACTACTTCCCAGCTATAGCATCGTACAGTCTTACGGTTAAGAAGGTCAAAAGGGTAAGCAGTCAATATAAAGACACGCAGCATCTTGAACAGGAAGTGCTAATCCTCCTTTGGGAACAGGAAGCTAGAGGGGAGGGAGGGACTGGTCAAATCTGGCCAGGAGTACATACAGGAGTCAGGGCAGGTCTTGCATTACTAGTGGCTAAAGAAAGACTTACCCAGCATGATGGCATCCACAGCTCCCCCAGGGCAGAACTCAATCATGATCTGTAGGAAACAAAGCAGAGCAGGGGTCAGGGGCCACGGTGGGCCGGGGACGTATCCATCTGTCAGTTCCCACCCCCACAGGAGCCTCTGATACCCAGAGAGAATGCTACAGGTGCTTTATCTTTCCAAAAGAGAAAAACCAAGTTGCCACAAAACCCAAAGCTTCAGTGGCCAGGCCTAATGCCCAGCATGCCCCTCCAGCCACCTGGAGTCAACCCTGCTTCCTACGCCATCCTACTTCCTCTGCCCTGAGACTCCTTCAGAGAACTTCCTTACCAAATCCAGAGTGGCCACAGCCTCACAGATCCCTACGCCAAAGCCACCTGTCAGAGCTCTACCCAAGCTGACAGGCCATTAGAATATCAGGGCTTGGGGCTGGGGGATAAGCTCAGATATACAGCCACAGACCCAGAAAGAAGTGTGTTCCACAAAGATGGGTAGCAGATGCTAGACTGGGCAGCTGGTTTTCTAACCCCCCCACGACATTTGTCCATCCATCTGCCCAGCTATCCACTATCCACTCACCCATCCATCCATCCACCCATCCATCGATTCATCCATCCATCCATCCATCCATCCATCCATCCATCCATCCATCCATCGATTCATCCATCCATCCATCCATCCATCCATCCATCCATCCATCCATCCACCCACCCCCCCCCCCCCCCCCCCCCCCCCCCCCCCAGCCAGCCAGCCAGCCAGCCAGCCAGTCATCAAGCACACAGACCTAACTGCACACCCAATGGATGGCAGGCCAAAGGAAAACCAGCAGCAGCTGGTGCAGGGGACTGAAGGGCAGTGCACAGTGATCTCTTCCTGGCTCACTCCCATGCTTGCTCTTCCTGAAGCATTCTGAACAGACCTTTGTCATCGTCCCTGAGTGGAGACACCATCATCGTGGACACCTATGGCTACCTTCCAGCTCCAGTCTCTATGGCGTGACTCAGCAGGGGCAGTCAGGATCGTGGGCCATCAAGGAAGCTGGATCTCTCTAAACAGGAAAGCCGCATTCATCCATGACCCAGGGGGCCCCCACCAGCCCTCCAACACAGATGGAGAAGGCACTTCAGGAGGACGATGGGTCCCAGTCTGACCTTCTAGATCAGTGGATCCCAACCTTCTTAATGCTGTGACCTTTAATACAGTCCCTCAGGTTGTGGTGACCCCCAGCCATAAAATTATTTTCATTTCTACTTCATAACTGTATTTTTGCTACTCTTATGAACTGCACTATAAACATCTGTGGGTTTTGATGGTCTTAGGTGACCCCTGTGAAAGGATCTTTTGACTTCTAAAGTGTTGTGACCCTAGGTTGAGAACCGCTGTTCTAGAGGCTTCTGGGTAATGTGAAGATGAGGATGGAATGAGAAAGGGCTTTGGAGACAGCCACAGCTGGGCCCACACCCCAGCCCCACATCACCTTAGGGTGCCTTCAGCTATCTGGATCATTCCCTTAGCTCTAAAAGGGACTGTTGTGGTTCTTCCCCCAACTGTGGCCAGCCACTGGGCTGATGAGCGATGAGCCAGGACGGGACCCACAGAAGGTCAATGGACTGCAATGAAGGGTGAGCAGTCCTGGAAAGTCAGGTGGGGCGTGAGCTGGGCGAGCAACAGGAGAGGAGCAGCAGGTTTTAGACAGTCCTGACCCTGTCAACCCCACCACAAGCCATAGAGAAAGCTGCCACAGAGAGAGGTCACTTGTCTGTTTGCACACCGCTGCCCACAGAAAGAAAGGACGTGGCTCGGAGACAGCTAGGTCACTTTGCCCATCCATTAAAAATTAAACTGACCATGTCAGACTCTCTCTAATCTGACAACAATGCCTCAGGGAAGTATTCAGCTGCAGATCTGGTATACGAGGGAAGGAAAATCACCACCACTCACTCACCTACCCACCCATTCACCCATCCACCCACCCACTCACCCACCCACTCAATCACCCACCCACTCACCCAAGCACTCACTCACCCACCCATTCACCAACCTACCCACCCAGCCACCTGCCCACCCACCCACCCACCCACTCACTCACTCACTCACCCACCCATTCACCCATCCACCCACTCACCCATCCATTCACCCATCCACCCACTCACCCACCCATTCACCCATCCACCCACTCACTCACTCACTCACTTACCCATTCACCCATCCACCCACTCACCCACCCATCCACCCACACTCATGCACTCACTCAATCACCTACCCATTTGGTGTGGGAGAATGGTCTGTATTCTGTCAATTATATTTTAAATAAACTCTGATTGGTCAGTAGCCAGGCAGGAAGTGGAGGTGGGACAACCAGACAGGAAGTAGAGGTGGGTCAATGAGAATAGGAGTATTCTGGGAAGAAGGAAGTTCTGCAGTTATGAGCCTGTCACAGAAGAAGCAAGATGTGACTGCCTCTCTGAAAAAGGTACCGAGCCACGTGGCTAGCATAGGCAAGAACAATGGGCTAATATAAGTTATAAGAGTTAATAAGAAGCCTGAGCTAATGGGCCAATCAGTTTACAGTTAATGTAGACCTCTGTGTGATTTCTTTGGGACTTAACGATTGCGGGAACCAGGCAGGACAGAAAACTCAGTCAACACCCATCCACCCACTCACTCACTCACCCACTCTATCTCCTAGGCAGCAGAAAATTGCAGGTGGACTTTTCAACGTTGCACAGCACCCTACCTGTAATCTCCACAAGAGACCCAGGGACTCTGTCAACCACTGAGAAAACCAACCATGGAGCAATGGTGGGAAAGATACACATCCTTGTCACTATGCAGGGGCAGTAGGTGGCTGGCACACTCTTCCCTCTCAGGAACACCAAGTTGACCCCCCTGGTTGGGGCTCCGCCAATATAAGCTGCTATTGTGACTCCTCTATGGGGCTTGGGATCTGTTTTACTCTGTTTGTTTTCAGACATGGTCTCACCTATACACCTCTGACTGACCTGGAACTCACTCTGTAGACCAGACTGGCTTTGCACTCACAAAGATCCACCTGCCTCTGCCTCCCAAATGCTGGGATTAAAGGCACATGTCACCAAGCCCAGCTGTGTTTGTTGAAACTCCATGAAAGCTATATGTGATATATGTCAAGTTGTCGCTCGATACAATCACATTGGAAATCACACAGGAAGAGGGTCTCAGTGAGAGACTTCTGGATCAGGTGGCCTGTGGACATGTCTGTGGAGGTTTGCCTTGACTGCATTAACTATTGCGAGCAGCACCATCCCATGGGTTGGTCCCTGCCCTGCAGAAGAATAGAGAGAGCGAGCTGAACACAAGCATGTGCTTCTTCTCTCTGCTCCTGACCAGCAGCTGCTTCAAGTCCCTTCTGCATTAACTCCCCTACAACGATGAAGTGTAACCTGGAGTCATGAGCTGGGATAAACCCTTTCTCCTCTAAGTTGCTTTCGTCAGGGTGTTTTAACAGCAGTAACAGGAAACAAAACCACAACACCATCCTCTTCTTACTCAGAAAAAGGCAAAACAGGGCAATCTCTGCCAGCAGTCTGGCTGACTCCCCACGCCCCAGAAGCTTCTGCAGGGTTTCCTCACCTCTCAAGCCACTTGCCTGTCTGCCTGTAACACAGGCAATTATTGGCTTCTAGATCTATGGCAAGGATTGAAGGGGTGCTGCCTGGAAACCAACAGGCCCAGTTCTGCCACACTGTACACAGTACCAGGGCCAGACACCCCCTTCCCTGCCAGGGATCATCAAAAAAGAAAAGGTAACAGTCGCTTCTGGTATTCCACAATAAGGGACTGTGATATTGGGAACCTCCCCAAGTCTCAGTTTCCTCATCTGTCACACGGCACTGAGCTCTGCCTCCCATGTTACCCAGGAACACGAAGCAATTCCTGGTTGAAAGGTTCAGCAGGAACACCACACTGCTGCGACACTTCTGCGTACCTTGAGTAAAAGCAATCAGCAAGTGTCCCTCAGGGACCATGGCCGCCCATAAACATAGGATTTCCCAGAACAGCAAGCCATTAGCACACCCGCGGGGTTATTACAAGCCACTGTGAGAAGTGGCCAGGCCTAGGAGGGCCCTGTGCCTTCTTCTCCAACATCCCTTGCGCAACACTCATCCTGCTAAGGTCATCCTTGAGAAAGCGGTGCACTCTGAGAGTCTGGCTTTCTTCCTCCTCTGTAGTAAAGAGTTCAGGACTCCTATGCTTCCCCTTTATTTGTATTTTGCCTTGGCTCTGGGAAGCTCAGAGTGCGGTTAGCCTCCTCAGCCTTGGCTTGAGTCTCAGCCTTTATGAATTCAGGGATTACCCCTGGACTTTTCAGCAGCGAAGGGCTGGAGTGGGTGTGGATTATTAACTCCTGAGGCTTTTACACAGCTACATGGGGTTTAAGAAGGAAAAACAAAAACAAAACCCAACAGCGACAAAGTTTGCCCTCTAATCTATTGCCTGGCAGTCATGGAATAGACCAACCTTTAGGTTGAAAATATAAGGTGTCAACATGTCTGTAATGGTTACTTTTCTTAAACATTTTCCCTAAACAATATAGCATAACAACCATTTACCCAGCACTTGCATGGTATTGGGGTTTGTGAATTATCTAAAGACCGTAGGTTATATACAAACACACTTCTACAGACCGATATCTTTGGTGAATATTGATGCAAAAAAAATCAAGATACAGCAAATCATCAGTCAATTACAAGTGGGTTAGACCTCAGCCAAGCAGAATTTTTACTCTATGAATGCAAGGATGGTCCAACAATAATCTATTAATGTACTAAATTGTAACAGAATGCAGAGAAAATAACATATGGTTGAGTCAATGATGCATCAAAAGTTCTGGTCAGACCAAACAGCTCTGAGAGACGTTCAACATGCATGGTCCAACATGCATGTCACATGGCTTTGTGACAGATATCAACCCTGAGTGACCCTGTGCTGGAGGAACTCAGATGATCTCAGATGGAGGACCACAGGTGACCCTGTGCTGGAGGTCACAGATGACCCTGGGCTAGAGGTCACAG